CATTTCAGTATTTAGCTTTCAAAGGCACTTTTGGATTCTTGCTACAGTGCAGAAATAGATTTTATTTCTGTTTCAAAAGCACAACAGAAAGTGTCCAAATGAGAAAATTCAGAGGCACGGCAAGCCAAAACTGCTGGATCAGAGGCTGCTTTCTTCCACCCATTAATACCGAGCCCTTGTAGCTGTCATATTGCATACATGCAATTGAATTACTCTAACTAAATACAGGGTGTTACCTCTGTTACAACTCCCAGAAAAATGCTCATTTAGAACAAGTGTCAAATTCAAGGCTCACAGGACAGACTTTCTGACAGCCAGTTTCAAGAGCCTATAGTTAAGCAAAGCTGCTCTTTTTCAGTTGCTTCACAACTCTGCTTCGCACTGAGTTTGAAAGATGTGCTGCTTACATGCATCAGAGATATCAGGAAAGAAGCAGAGAGGAAGAATCCCTCTCAACAGGGCAAGGAGATGCTACAAGAGCTCCAGGAAGAGACCTATCTGCAGAATCAGGTAGTCTGAACTCCTCAAAAAGACAACACCAGGTATGGAATATCAGTGAACCTGAACTACAAGAAGCACAGTACCTGAGTTATTCTCCATAACAGTGTAAATCAATTTGCAAACTCTCAGCAGCAGCATGACTTTCTTTTCAGGTGAATACATCTTCTGCATAGTCATGAACTTGACTTTAATCTTTTCAACATCCACGAAGTCTGGTGTCGGAACAAACACGCCCAGTTCCTGAGGAGTCCTCTGCCGCACCAGCTGCAGGTTTTCCTTGAGCTGTTTCCAGGAACCATCTGTGGTATGAAACTCTTTCAACATCGCTTCAATGTGACCCTTCAACGGCTTCAGAATGCACTTATGCATGGCCTTCTCCAGGACAACATCTGCAATGGCAAAACACAAGTTCAGCTGACTTCCTCCTCTAAAGCAGAGCCAGTATTAATATAACCATTCCCTAAAGAGAGACTGTAGCACAAAACCTACTTGCTAAGGACTATTTATTATACATGCTGAGTTTCCAGATGTTTGTTAACAAGAAAACAAGAGGCAGAGGAGAATCTGTATTCCATTTTCATTTATGACAATGTGGTAAATGAAAAAAAAAAAACACCCACGAAGACAGACTAGAGATGGTTAAAATAAAAAAAAGCAAGCTGAGGCTCCAGTTAAGTTTTTCTTTTGTTGGTCAGAAGCCTCCAAGTTTTATTTTATTTTGAGCTTAGACTTTAATTCTCAAACTTAAAGTAAAACACAGTCAGAATCACAACTTTTGTCTGCTTTGGCATGAAAGCCCATCCTTTTTGCATAGTTTCCACTGGAAACTATAACTTGACCAAGGTTTCCTAAAACTTGGCTCAACTTTGTCAAGATTTTTATAAAACTGGACAGATTATGGGGTTTAAACTACAAATGAAAACCAAGCTGTGTTTGTCCAGCTTCAGATTTCATCATGCAAACTTCTATACAGCTTTGTCATCAAGTTTGAAGTTCTTTGTTTGGCAATAGTGGGCACATGGTACAGTAACCACTAACTTCGGGACTTTTTAAAAAAAATTCTTGTTCTACTTCAGTTTTTCCTTAACCATCATTCCCCATTTTCTAAGCATGGACTACATCAACAGAGAAAGCTCTTTGCTAAACATTTTCTCTGCAAACCTTTACAAGTTAATTTTCTTTCCCACTCAGTGTCTTTACAGCAACACAGGTTACATTGAAGGGTCCACAGTGTGGACTCTTCAGCCTGCCCACCCCTGCTTCATTAAACCTCATGCCCTTTACAGGTTCTTTGCCTGTACTTATGTGTTTTTCTTAAGACTACAGCCTCTTTCTTTTCTGCCACACCCCCCCCCCCCTTTTTAGCTGCAGACTATTTCTAAGGCTTGGGATTTACACATACCCACACCCTCCAAACAAGCATTACCTACATCAGTTTTTTTGCCTTTTTTAAAAAATGGTTTCATTTATCTTATCCTTGTGTCCAGTCCTTTTTCCTTTTGGGTCTTCATACATCTCTTTTCCACACAAACACACCCTTCACATGCTCCTCCTCTTTTAGTGCCCTGACTTCATATGCAGAGTTTATTCTGTCTTTGCCACGCAATTCCCAAACTTTGAACTTTATTGAGAGCTCTCATCTCCCCTGTCCCAATTCTGCTGGGACTTCTGTAGCTTGTCTTGCTACTTTCCCCTCCCAAGACCCTGATGGAAGTGGCAAAACCGTATCTGCTTCATTCCTGGATGTTTCAAGCACATCCGGGCTTTCCCTCACAGCACAGATTGCGAAAGCTGCTGGAAAGGAGAAAGAGTGAACATGAAGAGCAGCATTTGCCCCCTGATTTTCTAGATTTCCCTGTGACCATCAATAAAGGTATTTTCAGTCTCGTGTTCTTGATGGCCTGTTACACGGCCTGAAGGGTGGGTCCAACTTCCCATCAGATCAGAGCCACCAGTTACACATTAACAACTGGCAACACTTCAAACGATTGATCCTTATAGATAAGGATCAATTACCTCACAGAGCCACACAATCACCACTGACAGACAGCACTACCAAACCCAGCCAGGAAAGCAGAAGCATCACCCTTCTGCACAGGGACAGAAGCTGCCTCTCCCTGCCATCAAAGCAATCCCCAAGGCTCACAAACATTTTTCCACAAGAAAAATGCACAAGTCTTCCCTATGGGAGTTCCTTATTAACTGGGGTTTTTTGACAATTCAGCTTACTGTATTTATTTCTACTGCCTGAGTTTTTTAAATAGCAGAGACATCAACTGCTTTTCTCATAAGAAGAACACCTCTGCAGTTTGTATTCCAACCACCTGGTCTTGCTTAAGTCAAAATTAAAGCTTTTGGTGCTGCCAAACATTACGCAAAGTGAGAGAATTCTATCCCCATGAAATTTTAACTCCCAGAGGTTTCCACTGGAAGTTCTGCAGATAAATAGTAAGCACCAGCCATCCTTCAGCTAAATAAAGTGGGGTCATCACAACATTTGGTTACAGGAGGCACAATAAATATGAAAGAGTTCAGCACAGAACCTCAGAGTCTGATCATGAGGGAGCACTTAGCCTGGGATGGGAGATCAGAAAGCTCAGTATGTTTCTGTGACTGATCCTCTACAGGGTCCAGGCTAGAGCCAGTTTGGCTGCTGCCTGCAGGATCTGTATGGAGGGAGCTGCAGAAGCAGTCCCTCCCCAGAGGCTACAGGAACTGGATGCTGCTGAGGGAGAAAATTCCTCCCCAGAGCTCCAGTCCTTGGTTGGAGCCAGGTTTGTTATCTGTAGGTGAGAAGTGGAAGGCTCAGGTCTTCTGCCCTCAACCCTTTGGGAGGGTAGTGCCACTCCCACGGATGAAGGTGAGGAGGTCCTCTCTCACATTTGCAATTCATCACAGGCTCCAAAAGCAATGCCTGGAAATTGCTTTGAAATTTACTTGATCACATTTCACAATTTCTCTGGAAACTTCAACCTATTTGAAGTAGCAGAGAGGAAGGGAGCACAGAACTCACGTGGCTGTGGTCCAAGCTCCACACGGGTCTATCAAAACAAAACAAACCACAACCAAAACAATCCATCAAATAAAAAAAAAAATCCCAAACCAAAAAAAAACCCAAAAACACAACACACAAACAACAACAAAACCAACACACCACCTTTTCTTCTCCCTTATAAATTCTTGGCACAGACATACGAAACCATTGAGTGCTGCCCTCATATGAAAAAGTGGCAAATTCTAGCAAGCTGATGAGGTTAACAGCAGCAAGACTGATAAGGACTGGATGTGGGGTTTTTTAATGGTCAACAATAAGACCCATATGTATCCTAATTAATACAAAACCTATACAGACATATATATTATTATCAAAGCCTGAAAGGATAACATGTCTTGTGATCTGGGTCTTAGACCAAAATTCAGTACCACAAGCACCTATAAGCATGTTTGGGATCAGACCATCCAACTATTTACCCTTTCTTCTGAACTGCTGTTTCTGGCCCATTTTCAGAGAAAGGTGACCCTGGATATGATCCCACAAAACAATTCCCAACCAGCAGCAGCTTTTACTATATAATTTCTAATGGCCACAAAAGAGTACATGAGGTTTTTCCAGGCAAATTAGCATCGAAGTTGTGAATTGAGGACTGATCTGTTACCTTAACATCTCTATATTTCCCAAATCCACATCAGCAACAAAAATTCCTGTTTACTTCAGCCAAATTTTCAAATATCCTCTCAGGATGCTTAACACTCCAAAACCAAAACAGGCTCTCTTCAGACTTTTTTTTTTTTACTGAATACAATTTGAGCTGAACACCATGTGTTGTTCCTGAAATGATACTTATAATTAGCCTCTAGCCTCAAAAATGGGAACTGGAAGTGCTTTGATAAATGAATTGTAAAGGCCAGGCAGCTAGTTTCGTTGTGACTTGTGGAAACACATCTGTATCCTGTGCTGACACGCTATTTTTGTTTTGCTGCAAACCACCCGAGTCTGCATCCAGACAGGACATCACATTAGTCATCGACAGTGCCCTCAGGCAGCCTCTTTACGACCCTCACTTCCTCAAATTGCAGGCACACTCTCACCTTTTCCAGGCTCTCAGCTTACCTGTTACCAACCGTTGTTGCTCCCCTGAGCCTACAGATTCCTGGATTTACACACAACCCTGTTTATCATCTACAATGGCCAAACCATTCATCAGTAAAAGCAGTGGTCAGTAAGAGATTGTGCAAGCCTGGGAACCATCACAAAAAGGCACAGTCCTACACAAGTAACTTTGCCTGTGAAGGGAAAACAAAAGGTTGCTTTGGAATACCACAGTGTGTAAGCGCAAGACACCTGACTACACTGCATTTGCTTTGTCCTAGATTTTCCTAATATTTTGCAAGTTCATAGACTGGCATGACTGATACAGATCTATTTTAAGATACCTCATGTCAGGATGGTCAAGTACCCATTTCTTGGGGGGTGTCTACAGTGTCACATGCCTAGACCACAGTGCAGACAAGGGTATCTCATCAGAAGGAGTAACACTTGAAAGCAAGACTTCACACAACCCACATTCCTTGATAATCTGCACAACCCCAAAAATAGAGGTAGGATTGAGGTGGACGATGGATAGACAGTGATGGCAGAAGCTGAGCAACTAGGGGCAAAAGGTTTACCTACATAAAGCACACCAAAGAATCACACAGCTTTCTGTGCTAGGTTTGTTTTGCTTTAATCAACTGTGGGTTAATTAAAATCCATGCTAGAGCTGTGTGGTAAGCACTTGTCTTCTCTTAAAGTTGTAGCAAAAACATGAGCAGGGAATAAGTCACAAAGTAAATCAAAGGAATGGCTGGAAAAGGGAGAACTCAATCCTCTAATTCTGCTCAGTGCTTTTAGCACCCTTTCTTACTTGTCCTATCCCACCACTCCTGTGGTGAAAGGAGGAGTGCTGAGGAGCACATTGGTCAGCCACAACTTGGCATGAAAAGACGCTAGGATGAACGACAGGATCAGGGGATGGGACAACAACTCAAATGTACAAGCACCTAAAAAGTAGCAGTGCTAAAGACCAGCCAACAGAGTTTTTCAAGGAGAAATAGTGGCATAGCATTCTAATTCCTTTAAGAGGATAACTGGATTAGTGAAGAAGAGGGGAGCCGCCTCATAACCATAACGTGGGTGCATGAATATTGTACTGAGAACCCAATTACCAATGGTTGACTGTCAAACAAGACAGGTATTTGAAAAGAGATACCATGGGAGTCAGTCCAGGGCTTTAATCTCTTTAGTATTTCCAGCTGTCTGCCTGCAACTCCTCCATACAGACCCAAGCCCCTGCAACAAGGCATGGCCTGCCAGTAAGGGGCCAACACATTCTCTCCAAGCTTCTTTTAACATTCAACATTGAAATATCAATTACATATTAGAAATACCAAAACAAGTAACAGTAAGTATTGTTTAGACATGTTCCCACAGGATCAGTTAATACCTTATTGCCAAATTATTTAAACCAGTCATTTCTTGGGCCAGAACATTTGCTGATCAAGCAGCTGTGGACTATCAGGGTCTCCTCTGACTAGTCCAGGTCTTCATTCTGTGGATACATATTCATGTGTGGATGTCTCTTTAAAAAATACATTGTATACATCCTTAAGCTGTCTGCCTTACTCTTGCTTCTGTCCCAACACTGGGAAGGCTCAGTGCTTCAGGAAGCATTAACAGCCTACAGTGCTAAGATTAGAAGGCATCTGCCAAGACTAATTAGAAACCCTGACACATTCTCTCAATGGTTTCACAGAAGTTCAACAATTTTATATCCCTCTGTCTAACAAATTTAAAAGATCTCCCACAGAACTATTTGCTTGCAATAGCCTATGGTGCAGTTCTACAAGAAAAGCTGAACAATCACAAAGATCACTACAGAGACATGGGAGAAAGTTACGAACATCAAGGGCTTCAATAAACCTCAGGGTGCTGCTTCAGCACCTACTGAAATTGAGGGGACAAGAGCGGGTTAAGGTGAAGCCTGGGTGACTTAGAAAGGAGGAGTATTATCCCAGAAGCACACATCCAACCCTAGGCTGACATATTGAGAAGAAAAACCTGCACCATGAAAGTGTGAGCTGACAAGAGGATAAATGTCTACTGACAAAGTTGAAATTTGGGCTGCAATTCCATACTGAAATAGTCAAGCAAAACTGTGGATAATAGGCAAGGCTACATCATAAAAAGCTCTCTATAGGGATGACTAAATTTTGCTGTCACATAGTTATCTGCTTAGATCAGCAACATCTGATGCTCCTGATCCACTGCAGTTGTTTGCAGGTCCAGTCATAGGCAGTAGATGACTCAAAAACAAGTTCTTTCTTTGTTTAAACTATCCCACTTCATAAATTAATTGCCTTTAATCACATGATCAAACCCAGACTTTCTGTCACTGAAGAAAACCAGTGTAGGTTAATTATTATATTTCATAGCTTATGCTGCTCCAAAGCACTGAAACATTTAAAAGCAGACAACATTCTTCCAGTCTTGGGAGACCCACAGTCCAATTAAACCACACCCTTGAAATGAAAAGTACATGTCAAACTGAGCTTTCACAAAATTACAAACAAACTGGATCTGTATTTCTTTGTCAAATATCCAGTACTCTGCAGAAATGCAGGCAAAACATGCGCCTGCACCACTGCTCAGTTTGAGGCTTTTTCTGCCACGTAACACCCATGTAATAGTCTTTGTTGTTGTAAATGAAGTTGAGGTTACGCGAGAATACTTCCTCTTGGTCAAGGACAGACAGAATGTCAACATAAAATTACCCTCTAGTCTCAGAGAAAGCAGTATCTGCCAATTTTGCACTGAGCCAACTGTTGGGACACTGGGGGATGGAGAAAAACAAGCAAATAAGGACTGAAGTGAGCTCACAAGGAAAGTATTCTGCCCTGAAGCATGGTCACCTCCTAAGTGTGGCGTACAGGCTCTTTAACAAATACTGCTCAGACTCTGCAAGAGAGAGAGAGGCAGTGAGATTTTATGCAGCAACAGGGGTTTCACTCTTCTGGATACACAAGTCTCTTTGTGTTGTTAAAACATATATCCAAACATACAACTCATCTGCAACCATTTACAAACACGTACATATAACAGAGAAGTACAGAAAACTAGAGATTAGCAGCCCCTTCTCTCTTGCTCACGTTTGTTTTCTAAAATTCTTCTGTATCTTTTCATTTAGTTTCAAGTGTAGGGACAGTACAGCTTTGCTAGGAGTAAGAATGTTTGGAAGAATGAGATTTATTTCAAAAGTAAGTTGTTATGAAATGTCTCTCTGCTCTTAATTGTCCCTAGTTTTGAATAAATCCTTGTTCTACAGCTATAATCCATATGGTTAAAATTGAAACAGTTTTGGTCCAAGCACTGAGAACTATTTGAGTCCAATTTAGGGGAAAATACATGTGTGCCAGCAAATAAATGTATTGTTCACAGTACATCAGCTAAAAAAAGTAATAATCATAGATAAAAAGTCCACACTGTGCCTATTTTAAGGACAACATTTTATGAACTTTTTAACATAGTTCTTTGAAGCCCATAGGGTGACTTGGGGTGGGACGGGGATGGGGGGGGGGGAAGGATGTTATTTTGTTTTAAGACTCAAATACTCAGTGGCTCAAGCTCTACTAGCCAAGTCAGCCCCACCTTTCCAAACTGGACAAAGACTGTCACTATAAACATGGATTACACATTTTCACCTTCTCCCAAAATACAGGATAGTGTTTCTTACCTATTTGGTCCTCAGGAATTAATGATTCGATTGGGGGATCAAGTTCGGAGCTTTGAGACAAATAGTTCTTAACTTGGGTCATGAACTGCCGAATCGTTTGCAGCATATCGGTACTCGAGACATGGCACTCCTTGTTTTCTTGGAGAAAGCTGACATAGTCTTGTACTAAGCATCCAAAATAAGTGCGTTTGTCCCGGGACAGCTCTGCAATTTTCTTAATCATCCTCTTTTCAGGGGTCATGAAGGAACTGAAAACTCCACTGACTTTCCGTAGCTGAGATTTCACAATCTTGGGGAGAACGAACGAACTGCTTCTTTTCTTCTTGGGCTTCAAAGGGGGTGCCATGCTCTCCTGGTCGCTCTCTCCCTCAAAATCCTCCAGGCTGCTGTTAGTGTCCCCCTCATAGCCAAACAGCGGCATGCTCCGATCAAAGTCCAGCGAGTCAGACGAGGAGGTGGAAATGCTCATGTCGCTCAGTCTCTGCCTGCCTCCATTCCAGGGTATGTGTGACTCAGAGATGGTAGCTGTCGTCTTTTTGGCAGCTGCTGGAGCAGGCTCAGGCAGGGTTTCACCTGGAACAACAACTGCTTCAGGCACACGCGCCGAGCCAGGCTGAATCGCTGCTGCAGTCTTTGAGCTGCCTTCCGCCTCGGAGCAAACAGCTTGCTTCTTCAGCCGAGGAGGCGGAATCGGGGTTGGCTTGTGCTGCAGCAAATCCAAGCCTCTCTCTTTCTTATGGTTGACTGTTTCTGGCATGCTCGGCTGCTTTATAGTCCTGGAAAGCTGTGGGCTCGTGAGGGTGCTATTAATGGCAGGGGGGCGGGGGGGAACGAGGCCTCGCTGTGCCATTCACGTCTTGAGTTCTTGGGCTCTGCCTTTTCAGACTTCCACTGACATCCTGGCTGTGCACTTTTAAGAAGAGGGGATTAATGAAACACAGCGCTCCGTTGGTCTGGCTGCACTCCAGCTCTGAAGGCGTTCTGGTTCGTATAGAATGTGCTCCATTTATAAGGCAGAGCTGGCGTGAGTCTTTACAAGCACTGTCCAAAGGCACAGGCCTGCAGGGAGGTGAAGGATCCAGGGGGTTGCTGTTAGCCAGGGAGCTCCAAAAGTCTGAAAATCATCATTGCATTAACGTAAGAATGCAAAACAGCATGCTTTTGGAACATTCAGCTCAACAACACCAGTTTCAAGCATTAAGAAATTTAGGCAAGTTTCCATTAATTCAAGGGGGTAAAAAAAAATTCCAAGTGAACCTCTTAAAGCACCACCAGACATAGCTGCATGCTACACTCCTGGGGCTGCTCTTACTCATTTAAAAATACCATGACCAGTGCACGGCTTCAAATCAGCCCACTGAACTAAACTTAAACTGAGAATCAAAGAAAGGAATGTAATTCTTATCAGCTTAAGAGCAAAATGAACTTAAACTACTCACTAGCATCTCACTCAGGGTAAATAAGGCAAGATTCTGAGCTGGTATTAATAAGCTCACTTCATTAAACACAACAGTTAAGCTGATTTACACCAGCTGAAGGCTACTTACAGCAACTCAACAAAAATCTTGGTTTAGTTCCCTTTGATAGTGAACAAATGAAACTACACATGAAAAGACAGTTCACATTTTGCCATGGTGGATGCACACATCACCTTTAGTTACACAGACCAAATGCTCATGTGTGTAAGAGCACTGGCCTGCAGCCCTGCCTTTGCCATGGGGACAGTTTGCCTGAGGTTACAGACATTCAGCAGCCCATAAAGAGACCTAGTGTGCTGTCCCACACCAGTGGCATGGAAAACCTATGCTAAAACCAACAAGTTTCAGCTGCAGCCTCCACACTTATCCCAGCAAAGCGTCAGCATCTTTTTGCAACTGAGTCAACGGTAAAGAGCATCATCTGAAGGTATGAAGATTGAAACCAGATGAGCCCTTGAGGACAGCAATCAGGCTGAAATAAGGGAGGAATAACACAGGAGGCAGATTTTGCTGAAATCTGCCGATCTTGACATGGCTCATTTTCCTGTACTGGCAAGATGCCTTGCATTTGAGGCAGCTGAGCAATGACACCTGGGTCCAAGTGTATGAATGTCAAGCATCCACAACAGGTACATAGCCAACAGCCATGTCTTGCCTACGGGGCAGAAGACAGGAAATGGTCCATGATGACAGGCCACTGTCAGAGAACAGTATATAGGCACAGGCATGTTTCTCTACATAGTCATACAATGTTGCTGGTTTTCCCAGCTTCATGACTTCACATCCTGCATCCAGATTCCTGGCACGTGGGCTGCTACAAATACACATGATGTAAGCCCTGCTGCAGGTGAAACAGAAGAGGGACTGAGAGAGACAATCTTTCATTCAGCAATAAAATCTTACAGGTTGGCAATAGCCTTGAAATCTTTACCACCAGTTCTTCCTGATGCGGTTTTGCTGGGCTACGTGCTGTTGACCTGTCTTGTACAGCTCTTATCCTGAGCCTGCAGCATAACAGAGCTCTGACAGGAGATACAACCCTCTGCAATCACATCATGGTGCTTTGTACCTATGTGTTTCTTAAGGAAAACTCATCCTTACCAGGTAGGGCTGTTGGAAGTTTTTAGGCATCTCTTGATTCCACAGTATTGAAAGGCTGACTTCCTGGTGTGCTCTTTTGCATGTGGACATCTAAAACTCCATCAAAATCTCAACTTTGTTGCCTGGTTTTTGCTCATAGAAACTGCAATCTTAATCTGGTGTATATTGGGTAATTGATCCCAAATACAGCAACCAGACAGACACTGATCCATCATTCTCTTCCTCAGCTTTCAAATGTATTAGCTGAAGAAAAAACACATACATTGCAGAGACTGTTCAAGAGCAAGGCTAATTCTGCAGCAAGTAGGCCAAGGTGCTCTTCAAGACAAAGTGTGATTAATCTGGAGAGCTTGATCAACACCACCATTATCATCTCCTCTGGAGAAATTCAGCTGTTACTTTAAGGCTTCCATGTGTCACTGGGACACTGTCTTCATTACACTGTATCCCAATCAGACCTTTTGTTTTCTTTTCTCCATCTAAACACTGACCTCAACAGTACTATATTTGTCTCTATTCCCATGATAACAGACACTTTCATCTGATACCTGAACTTGCAGACAACCAGTGTGGAAGTAATTAATTTCCTCTGTAAAACAAATCCCTTAATTGCACTGCTATTGCAGCAAACTGAAATGCAAAGTAGTGCAATACTTTCCCACATATGGCTTTGCTGTGCAGTCCCACCAAACAGCTCTAGAGAGCCTCAAGTCAACACTGATTTAGAGAGGATCCATTTCAAAATCAAAGATGATTAAAAAATCTACTGGGACAAAGACTGCTGACAGTTAACCTTCCCTTCCTGGAGAAGGAAATGAGGCCATTCAGCACTTTGCAGGAGTTGCTCAATGATTCATTTGGGTGGTGCCTGAGTTTCAAATCCCGCCAAGTTTTGCATCTCCTGCAAGCTCAAGGTATGCCTTACAACGAGTCTGTATTCAGTTGTGGCAGTCATGTGATGCAAGTATGTCCTTACATTGTCTTCTGTTAGTTTAAAACATTTCACCTAACCAATGTGCACAGACACATGCTGCAGGTCAAATGTATACACCCCTCCTTTTCTTAATGTGCCATTTCACTGAGCCACTGATCTCAAAATTCGCCATTCTAAGTTCACACATCAATCTGAACAGAAGTTTTATTAACAGCAATTCTCAGTTCCTACACTCTCCTTGCAACTCCAGTGAATTATCAAGCCAGTGCCTGTTATGTGAACCCACAGACAATGTTAACTCTTGGAGCAGAAGCTGTATAAAACTTCTGTCTGGGGACTGCAAGATTTGCTTTGCCAAGGGTTGCCCAGGGAAGGGAGAGGAGAAGGAAGAAGGAAACAGCACGAACAAAAATATCACAGAAGGAAGGAAGAACACCACTATTTGGCCAAAACAAGGTTTAGCCTTCCCAAAAGGAGAAGCTGCTTTTCTAAATGAAATCTGTATCATCACTGACCAATATGAACTACTTTCTGATAGACTATTTCTTCAAGCTTATAGCAGTGCTACAGGGAAGGGCATCTATGTACAGAACTACTTACTGAGTCCAAGCTGAGCAATCTCCTCGAGTTCAGCTTCTGTCTTTGCTGTAGCAATTGCATGAGGCAACTTCAGTGTGAATGGAAGGACATCCCTGTTGTCGAAGAGAAAAACAACTATGGTTTTCACAACAACATCTGTAGTTTTAAAAAGCATTTGCTTTTAACACTGGCAGTGGCTGACTACTTCTTGAGCTGTAGCAGGCAGCAAGAGCCTTAAACACACAGCACAGTGAAAACATTACCAACCCCAGGGCTCCTTTACATTGAAGACTGGTGAGAAGTGCAAATGATAGTCAAGTGCCCAGGACTCTCTTTAGGGTCATTTCTACAGAGCCATCCAATATTTTCTGCTATTCCAACAAAAGCTTTTACAAGCATATCACTGAGGTGCAAAAGTGTTACTTGCCCTTAACCCTTCAACAAAACTTATTTTCTGAATATGATCTTGACTTGTTTCAAAGTTGAATTCCAGTTCTCAGAATAGAAGTTTAAATGAGTAGCTGGCACAGCCACTCTAAAAATTTCTAAGCTAGGATGTTCTGGCACTACTCTGTTCTAGGCTGAAAACACACTTCATTTAAGAAAGTTTTTGTAACTTCTCATATGTGGCTTCAGTTCATTGCATACTAGAAGTTCAGTGAATGTATCAGGGATGCATGAAGAACAACATAAGCCAAATCCAGTGTAAAAGGCTTTTCAGACAGATTTTAAGGGACAAACCCACTTAACCATATGTACATTGTATGAATGTGAGTACTACCATCAACCAATACTGTACACCTCTTGCCTGCCCAGTTGGTACCAATATACCCTCAAACAACAGCAGATCCTAAACTGCAAAATCTGTAGTAAAGTACCGTGTAATTAAGACTAAATGAGAACAAATGGAGCACAGGAATTCTACATACAACTGGTGTCAGCATAAATTTGGGTTTTAAGGCTGTGAACAACCCAACCATCTGCTGTAGCACAGACAGACAGTGGGTTTTTATCATATAAATATCCTCTATGCTGTATTTGAACTTACTGAAAAAACAGGATCTCAGAACACCACTCAAACTCAAATCAAGACTAATACACTAGGTAAAAAGTATTTGAAAGACACTTTCAACATCACACCACAGATAATCTACAAGTCTAGATCATCATCATGGTCTCAAATCAAAGATAGGTAAACCTTGACTCCTACAAACTGGCTGGGTACCTACTACAAGAAATTCCCTCTGGTTTTAGAAAATCCTCCTGGGTTTCCTGTGATGTACCAAATGGTACTCTCTCTTTCTCCTGATAGCTACGTTTCTGCTTCCCTAAGTTTATACAGAGCAACTTAGAGCCTTCAGTGAAAGAAAAGGGATAGACAAGTGCCAAGAAATCTCCATTTGCTGCATGATCCTGGAGGCACTTACAGGGAATTTACCAGAGCCTGGCAAGCAGGCAGAACTGAAAGGGTGACAAGATAAGGAGTATCTCATCATTAAACTACTTTTAAATGCATTTTCAGCTCATTTCTCATCTGAGTGCTGACCAATTACTCGTCTGGTATCAACGCTTCTTCCATCACATGCATGTACAGCTCAGCAAAACAGAGGCTGTAACAAAACGGATCTAAGATGCCTCTCCATCACCAACAAAACCAGCAAGCACAGCAATCTAAGTGCATCCCACACCAGAAATAACCACAGTCAGCACTAACTGGCAACCTTTCTACAGTAAAAGGACCAAGACCATCACAGTTGACTCTCCCCACTTCCTTCAGAAAACATGCATGTATGCAATTTGGTCATGTCCTGTCTGTGGATACATATGAGGCTTGAGCAGCAGTCTGGAAATTTTCACCGGTAAACTGATGTCAAACAGAAAACAACTTAAAAGATAAAAATCACCAGCTATTTTTTTCTCTGCCTGCTGCCTGGAAAACAACTTTGGCAACAATAAACTGGAAATCTGATGAGGCCATTTTTGTTGTTCGCAATTTGAATTCACACCTCTCAGTTGTCATTCTACAGTAGGATCTGATATTTTTCCATTATGTTCCAAAAATTCTTTTTACTAGCAATTCCAAGAAAGGGACATTGAAAGCTAGTTTATGGCTGTCATTAAATGAGTTGCAGGGCACTTAAGAAAGCATTACAAGACATCAGCTGAAGTAAAGTTCAACTTGGCACCACCTCACAGCTGGGTGGATAACTTCACAGTAGCCTCCCAATAATCAGCACAAGGTAAGACAGAGCCACTTGCTTCCAAGTCTCATCTCTTACTTCTCTCATTACCTTCTAAGACTACCCAGGAATGTTTGTAGATTGGCAACATAAGTACCATGCTGAATCAAGTCCTTGAGACTCTCTTTATTCCAAGACAGTCTAGCGAATGTGACTTAGAATATAACCCTCTTACCTGCTGATACAGTAGAAAGCAATGAGTCTGAATAAATCAGCAAAACTTATTCCAGACCCCTCCAAGGAAAATGCTGTGAAGAAATTCAGAAGAGAGAATCAGCCACCTATCCACCATTTCTTAGAAAAGTTTAATAAAACGCATCTCAGACTTTCACATAAAGTTCCTAAGTTTTCACCATCAAATTAGCTACTGTTTGTGTAAGAGAAAACAACTCTGTGGAGGAGTACATGTCTCTGCTGAAGGCATTTTTAAGAATATACTGATAATCCTGGTGGCTTGTTTCATTTTGTATTTCAAGCATATGGTCTAATTCCTGTGAAACAGATCAAGTGTGATGAGAACTGCGCAACATTTTGCTAATAGAGGATAAACCAATAACTGAGGCTCTGCTTGCTCAGCGTACTAATATACCTAATTTTAAATCTCTCATTGCCTCCTCTGGCATTTCATTCTACTCACTTGCCTTCTCCCCAGATGTGTAGCACCTATTGGGAGATAAATTTGCACTCACTTCAAGAAAATAATTTAACCTGAAAAGCCTTAAAAGAACTGACAATTCTGGTTTGTGCCATTGCCTTGCACAAGGGGAGAGGAAGATATTTTTCCCCACATCCATACCACTGCTTCTTATTGATATAAACAATTGTTCTCAGTAATAATGACAATTGCATTAGTCTCTCTCTGATGCCAGTGGCAAATCTCACACAGGGACTAGAAAGATCAAGCAGAAGAAGCTCCTAGAGGAAAATTATCTAGATCTTTCGCCTCTAGAAATAACTGAGACCAGGGCAGAAGGAAGAAACTACAATTAAAACCTCAGCTGTGATGCGTGAGTAAAACTATCAAGTAGATACTTCCCCCTTGTGGCAAGATTTCATTCATAAAAGACAACATATTATTATTTTATTTTTTAATGACAGAGAGGAAACTCATTAGCATAACAAACCGACAAACACAGTCTTAGATCACACTTAGATCAACTATTATTGGTAACTTTCTCTTCTCTTTGCCTTGCCTTGTTTGTAACTGGAACCAAAACCAGACACAGAATTAACTTCTTTTTTTTTTTTTTTTTTTTTTTTTAACTGGGGCCAGGGAAGAGAGAGAGAGAGAAAGAAAGGAAAAACTTAACTAAAATTACCTCAGTTTGCTAATAAAAACAGAAGTTAACTACAAACCCTCTGCTTCACGGAAGTTAAACTGAAATTGTTGCCAATTCTCTCCTGTTTCCACTTTCATGTTAAAATGAAACATTAGCTCCACTTGCAATTTATGCACCACATAGGCAAACCAGGAGCAGCTTTCATTTTTCATTCCTGAATCTCAAACATATTTTTCACACACTCCCTCTAAAGATGTGAGGGCATTTATGTTTTGAAACCAGTTGGAGAGTTAACATTTGCTCATTTCTACTAAAAACAGACAGAATATAGGTGAAATTAAAAGCCAGAAATCACTAGTCTAACTTCTGAAACAGTTTCAAAGGGTTAAAATCCATCTAGTTATTGCATTTAAAAAACCCACAAACTAACTAAAAAAAAAAACCTAAAAAAACCCCAAACAAAACAACAACAACAACAAAACAAACAAAAAAAAAACACAACAAAACAAAAACCCACCCCACATCCAAATTTGTAGACAGAGAGAGCTCATGACAGACTTGCATCCAAGAACAGTCCCTGAGCACAAGGAAATGCAAGGACATTTCACTGACAGCAGACAGGATTATAGGCTGTTTCTACAGAAGATATCCAAGTTTCTACAGAGGATAACTCCACCCACAACGATCACTGAATCCTGGATTCAGCAAGGTGCACAACAGAAACATTCTAGCACAGACTTAAGTGTTGCTGTATGTCTTGCCTCCTCCAGGATATGCCTGAGCCACTCGCAGAGTCTGCCCCAGAGAGCACAGTAGGCAGCCTGGGACATTATTTGCATGACTCTGGGTATCTGCTGTGAGCTTCACCAGTGCCAAATGTTCCTTGATCATACTGGGTGATAAACAGCTGAAAAGTATGTAACTCACAACTTACTGTATGTGCTTTCTTTTATGGCAAATTCTTTCAGGCAGGACCCACAGTCAGCGGACAGACGCAGAGAGATGACTTTCTTCTGCAGTCTTGCAGATTTCCTAACCAGAAATATCTGTTGTGGAGAAGGCAAAAGGACATGGTTTCAGCTTTATCACAGATACCTTAATAGAGACCGATTATAGACAAAAGGAGCCAGAACAACTTAATGATGTCTGATTTATATAAAACATATTGGAATTTTACTTGGTTGTTACTGCACCATGTCCAAGATGTAAAATGGCAGCAGAATATTTAGTAAAAGCATCTCTTCTTTGTATAACACAGACATGATACCAAGTCCACTATGCCTTTCTTGGAAGCTTTCCAGTTGAGTCCACACCAAATCCCAAGCCTTGAGTCAAGCTGCAGAGTCTGGAGGGGACTGTAGCACTCCTGTGTCCCACCAGCCCATTCTTACAATCCTTCTGCACCAAGATGGAGGCAGCATTAGAAATATGCCATCAGACTTATCCAAGCAGACAGGGTTTAGTTCCACCACAGCAACTTCAAAATGCAGGCACCAGTGAAGGATCAAACACTGATGTTTCCCACGTATCTATTGCTTTCTCCTGATGGAGGAACTGCTTCTGTTACAATAACCCTGGTCAGCAAGGTCCAGCTTTGGAGCTGTAATTGTGGCAGTCTTGTTCTCAGTTCCAGAGGACCCTGGACCACTCCCCAAACATCAGCCCAGGTAATGGGTCACATCCCAACTGGTCCAGCTGTCAAGTGCTCATGAAGCCCTGACTTGGATTATCCAAAGCTTAGAAGAAATGGGGTGCAGGATGTTGGTTAGTTTGTTTGTGCATTTTGCTGTGGAGATCTTTTTCTCTTTTTCATTTATTTTTCTGTTGTTGTTTTGGGGTTTGTTTAGGGTTTTGATTTTTTATTTATTTTTTGCACACTCACATCAAAGAAATGGAAGTGTAAAATCTTACCCCAGGAGGCTGAGCCTGCAGAATTGCCATGGCTTCAGCATCATTCAAACCCAGCTGCAGCCACACAGGGTGAGTATGAAGGAGCTTGTCCAATATGCTTAACTTGTTGGATAGGCTGTCATATCCAGAGTCCCGAGGGCAGCTTTTTACATCATTTTTCTCAGGAGAGACATTATCCATGTCCTTTATTAGGCTGTGGAAAATTAAAAAAAATAAATTAGACATGTTAACCTCCTATAAAAAAAAATCACACAGTTCAGCAAGCAGAATTATCACAAAGCTAAACGCACTGCTTGCATTCTGGACTGGTATTTCTCCCACTGAGAATTCATCTATTTAGTATATACAAAAATTCTCTTAAGAGGTTAGACTTCTTTCTTTCCTCAGTTCTCAATTCAAAGCCAAACCTTAGCATCCTTCTATGAGCTCGCTGAAATTCTGCAATTGCTTCTTTTGTCATGCAAAGCTTCACCATCATTCATATAATACAGAACATCCAACACAATTGCAAATGTGTTAGAAACCACTACAGAACAGTTGCTCAGTAACAGTTTCCTGATGACAATATTTAGGAAGAGACAGAAAACACCCTGCAAGCTCAAGCTCCAACTCCCTGAGATGTCAGGCAGAGAGAGAGGCTGTGTACTCCCTGCAGACCTTTCCTGATGGCAGAAGGGGCCCCTGAGCGGCAGAGGGCAATGCAGCTGCATTTCCCCACTGCACACTGCTGGCAGCTCTTCTGAACCTCCTGCTTTGGACAAGCTGCAAGCATCACTAACAGCATTTTCCACTTTCATTATGCCAACTACTGTACCCACAGCAAGGGGGTACAGAGTTCACAAGCACAGAAGCACTGAGCATTTAAAAGCAAACAAATAAAAAGCTCCACCTCCCACCCCTCCCCAAAACCCAAACCAAACTAAATTAAAACCCACTAACCAACAAACAAAATACCCCAAACCACCAAACTGCTTTCTTCTAGCTTTGGTCAGCAACTTGAAGCATCTCTGGATAGGGCTAGAAAGGAATGTAAATGGGATAGAGAACTTTCACTGTATGATCAGATAAGAACAGGCACAATCATTGGACTTTTCGTTACCTGGATCAATTATCACTACCAGTATCTGCCCGCTTCTTCCTTTTTTCCTCTCTCTCTTTGCTTATTTATGATGTGAGCTCTTCAAATCTGCAAGGCATCTAAAATGCAGATGATTTTCCCCTCCAGCCCCTGAGTGTCAAAAGCTTTTAGTAACCATCTTGAAGGAGCACACGTTATGTGCAGAAGGGAAGTAGTGTTTACATCAGTCATGACAGGACGCTGAAAGTGTCACAACAGGAATGCTGGCTTCCTCTTTCAACCAGTCCCAGCAGACCCTAGTGTTGTAATGTATGAATCTCCACAAAAGTCAAATCATAAACCACACAAGTGTTTTCATGAGCTGTAGCTCCAGTAAACATTGCTCAGAAACTTCTCACCTGCCTTCGGTGCCAGTTAACCACTTTACAAACCAAAGGGAAATGTGGCAAAGTGTAAGTTATACACTGATGCTGACTGCACACTTGACTACGTATAAATGATTTCCGCTCCTTGGTCACGGGGTGGAAACTAAACATGTTGCAGAGGGAATACGTCCAAGAGGGAAAAGATTTTTGCCTACTAAAAAAAAGCAATATCACATGCAAAAGAAGGCGCATGGCTGGTATCAGCTAGAACGTCTGGCACTGCTTGCTACCTCAAATCCACCTAAAGCTGACAAGAGTTTGCACAGAAACACCATGTAGGGTCACAATATTCCTCCTCTTTGGTGTGACTGGTTTAATGTTGCCACACACCCCCTAAACTGTTATAAATCCGAAGATAAATTTGAATAGGGAGCTGTCAGGTTTTTGGAACCTTCAGGTACTTACATGCACAATCCCTTCCACATGCTGAGATCCAACGAGGAACCTCTCTGACCTAGATAGACATGCACCTCCTTGTTGCAGCTGCTTCTGCCCCCTCAAGAAATAAGCCAAAGATTATGATTATCTGATCATGACAAGAATTTTTGCCACTCCTAAACACTAATGGTTGAAATGACCTCAATGCACCTCAGCTAGATCAGCACTAGCATGTTACTGCAATCTGCAGAAGATAAACAGGAACAAGCAACACTTAGAAAAAGTTATTTCCTATTTCCAAATAATAAAAGTAGAGAGAAAGGCTAGGCCTGGTGAACTCTGGCAGGTGCATAGCTTGAAAAAACCACATCTGGCAAACCACATCCAATCTATGAGAAGCCACTTCCCAAGGTCTGGAGCAATTGCAATCAAGAGCTCACTGGTCTGTTTTGAGAGTCTGTTCGTAGTGGTCTAGCACTACTGAGCATCATGTTCCCAGCTTGGTTTTTATTCTTAAAATAATTTTAATTAAGGATCTGGGCACTAGACATACAGTCAAACCCTGACACATGGGAGTTCTTGAAATCTGGCATGTCTTAGAGTTAGACTGTAAAATTATTTGGGACAGGGATATGTGTATAACAATTGTGAAACAACTGCATGGAAAGAAGAACCCATTTGAACTCCTCACAATCCACTGATTCATTCAAGTGTACAGAATAAGATGCTGCTGTAACCTAAGCACTAGCAAAATATGCTGTACATTATGCAACAACTAAGACTCCCTGGTTTCACTTTTGGGTTGAGGATTGGTTGGTTGGTTGTTGCTGTTTGTTTGTGGTTTTTCACAACAACTCCTGATAAAAGACAATCTGACTAGGTCACATTAAACTCAAATTTGAAACACAAATCGACCTTCATGGATGGTCTGCTTTAATGCAGGGGTGCTACACTGGTTCCTCTCCAGTGGGAAAGACGTTTCAACACAACTCACAACAGACTGAAGAAAATATGATTCGTGTAAGTTTCCTTAGACTCGAGAAAATCCATAAGCATGTGGGAAGTAAACAGAGGTAACTGCCACGATAAACAATGCTGTGCTGCATCCTAATTAGACCTAGTTCACAATAAAAAAAGAGAAGGAACAGGTTGAAGCCTGTAACCAGGATGATTCTTTCCCTCATACCCACAGGGCTCTAGCATACCCCTTGATCATGTACCTACTAAGCAAATGCTCCTGCTCTCCCACAGCAATTTTCTTTTGGTGTCCCAAATTCTAACTATGCCTCTTAATCTAACTTCATAAAATCTAAACTTGTAACATTTATCACATGTTTTTATGAGACCTACAACAACAAGCAGACGTGCTCTCTGAAACTGCTGCCCATCTCCAGATTCATTGTGTTTGCCTGTTCCAGCTACTCCGCAGTGAGGAATATTCCTCTTGTATCTTTCCCAGTCACAAGGGCAAAGAGAACAGCAACAGACAGGTTAAGTGCATCTTTCTAAAACTGCAGATGAGCATGAACCTGCTCCAGTCTCACCAAAGGCTCCCCCACAGTTAACCCAGTTTGACTCCCCACAGCAAAAGTACCAGGATTTCTGTAAATCCTGTGAACTAACAGGTTTTAATCACACCAGCCTAGTCTATATAGCCATGCTAAGCATCATCTGGGAAAGGGAAAAAAAGCCTCTGCCGAGCATTACCTCCAACGCCTCAGCAGCCAGACTGTCACTTCCTTCTCCATCCCATTACAGCTGAAAGAACAGGACAGAGCTGCTGGGAAAAAGGTTGTTGGATACTTGCCTACCTGTCAACAATAACAGAAGCCATTCACCCAGCAAGACACAGAAGACAACTCTAACTCCTGTGGAAAAGACATGGGCATGAGGGCTGTGCAGTGCAATACACAAGGGAGGGAGCAAACCTCTGCCCTTGTTTGTGTCATGGTAACAGAGTGGGAAGGGAATAAGTTGCTGCAGCTGCTACCACTAGCAAAGCATCCCCGAATCATTTCACTGGCACCAAATGCCCCAGGAAGCCTGGAGCTTTACAGCCTTCCCCACAGAGGGACAGCAATGAGTGTTGTCACCTCACTGTCATTCACAACAGACACAAGGGGTCCTTGAGTCCCAGAGCCCTCGAGGGAGGCCAAGTGCCTCCTAAAAGATCATGCAGGTACCACCAGTCACGTCACACGAGCTCCCCCATCCTACATGGACCTGGGCTGCCACTGCATGCAGTTCTCTCGTTACCCTTTCAGAGGTCACCAGCACAGCCCAGGACAGAAATCTGCTCCTTTAATGCCCTTTTCTGACAACTCCACTCACCTGCATTACCAAACACAGTGAAATACTGAAACAGCTAGTGAGAGCATCCCTCTTAAAACACATTTTTACAGGCCTTTTTTTTTTTTTGCCAGGCTTTACATGCTTACAAGCCACAGTCATAGACCCTTGAATCATTCTCAGTATTACTTAGGCCATATACATTAAAAGGGGAGATAAATCCAAATTATAACTGGGGGGAGGCGTATAAATCTGAAAGCTGCCACATAACCACAAAAAACCCACACCACAACACTAAGTACACAATTTCATGTACTTATTTTTCTGCATCCAGTCAAGAGCTCTCACAACCGCTGCCTATCTACAACTGCTCTGGGTGTCTGTGGCCATCTACTAAGGTGAAAAACAAGCAAGGAAAATGGACATTCTGTTTAGTGCAAATTTCTATAGATGAAAATCCAAAGGTCATATCAAGATACCAACTTCCAAACAGCTGAACACAATAAGAAGAGCAAACTACATTAATTACCAGGTTTTTAATTAACTACAAAGAAATAAGTTATAACAGTAAACACAGCCTTCTGAAGAGTCTAGTTTAAACAAGAACTCTGGAAAACTTTTGTTGAAATTATTGCAATTTTGCTCTGTAGTTCTATACTAAAAGAAATATATCAGTAGGAAGCTAAATTATATAATTTATACCAACTTTGCTACACCTCATTCCTTACATAGAAACACACAGATCGGAATTATGTAGTCATAGAAAATTTGACCTTAACTCATTTATTCAGAATTCATATTTTACATTTATCATCTTAAAGTGACAGAAAAGAATGCTTTTTTTAATTGGTTGGCTATTATTTCGATATGAAATTGAATTCAATGAAGTAACCCTGGAAATCGCATTATCCACTTTATGTTAGCTTTACTTACATATTTTAATCAAAATATATTTTGCACTAAAAATTAACGAGTTCAGGTTAAAAATCCATTTTTAAAAATCCACATGATCTATAAAATGGGTAGGTTTAATTGACCACTTCCAGCTAAGTGCTTCCACCAGGATTTTAAAACCAGTAGATCTCAGCCTTTCATGCATATGGTGCATGTATTCAAAGTTACAAGAAGCCTTTTCTTAACTGAAAACTAGCTGATGATTACTGAAATTAATTAGCTGGATCAACCACAATGAGGAAAATATTCTTTCTGCCCTTATAAAAGAACTGTGCTCTCAAAAGCTTTAAAACTTGTATAATGTGCAACAGGGGCCATAGCCAAGAACTCTAATCAGTTCAACTGTCTTACCTTCTTTATTCCTTGGGCAACAAAGATGCCACTCAATGTTTAATTTCAATAATTTACTTTGCAGTAAGTTCTGGCAGATTTCAACAGAATTAATAGAAAGAAAAAAACGCTAAAAAGCTTGGATGCAATTCTACATAACAAACAATTATCCCCTTGATTAACTCGCTGCTAGAAGAACAAAGCCCACCAGCTCCAGAACTGGCCCAGATGGTGCATCGGATAAAACACAACCTCTACCTCAGTTGTTTTCCTCTGTCAACAAGTATTTCAGATAGCACAAAAATGTGTTCTCTTGTTAACACAATGATTAAAACACTGATTATCCTCCAGATGTCACTTTAACAGATATTAGCAGTCAAGCACATCAGCCACAGCAAGGCCAAAACACTGTGATCCCACTATGCCCACTCAAAAGGTTCAAGTTCAACATTACAAATTTTCACAGTCCACAACTATGTGGTATGATCGATTTTTAAAACCCAGAAATTTTATCTGCACTATAACATACATCTAAAATCATTTTAACGTTAAGGAAATGTCCCATCTATTTTATTTCTTTTTATATACACGTTATTCATAAATAAACAAATTTAAACACATAACCCACAAAAGCATCAGCTTGTAACAGTCAATATTTTACCTCCTAACCTGAGAACATAAACAAGTCACCTTATTGTATGTTGAATCTTCTCAGAGTCACTTGAAGCAATGGACATTTTGTCTTTACAGCATGAACGCAAAGCTGTTTGCCACAGACAATGGGAATGTTAGTAGTTTCCTGCTTTAGACATTCATCAGTATCCAAGGTTTTTAACAAGGAAGTAGAAGTGAAGTTCAGTTGCTATTAGAATATTTTAAGGCAAACACACTGAACAACTGAATCCCTGGGCACTCCTGCACAAAGGCAAATGGATTGCATCAAGAGCAAGATTATCTGCACCCCCGATGCTGCTAGGAAGAAAAGAGCTAGGACATAAGCCACCCAAGAAGACAGCACAAAGAAAACATTCCTGTCATGACAGACCTCCAGGAACTATGAAAATAAACATTTTAATCACCTTCGCAAATCAGCAGCTTCATCTTCCACTGTAAGATCTGTCTGTACCATCTCCTGTTTCAGTTCTCCGATTTCTGAGGCAATTGTGTCAATGAGCTAGAAAGGGACAAAAATAGTATGACATCAAGTGAGTGGAAGAGGCGTGGAAAAGAAGCCTGGGCAAGTTTAGTCACCAGAGATTACAAACTTCTTTTTTTCTTGTAAAATTGTATCCTATTTGGACTTCCCCTTGCAAAGGAAAAAGTAAGGGTTGGAGCCACTTATAATGGTTCTCAGAGGAAGAATAATTTCTGGTTTGTGCCAGTACAAAACCTTCCAGATTGGCTAACCTTGTTATTTAAATTTATTAAATTTGCAGCCTCTACATATTATACAACAACTTACAAAACTAAATTATTCAACCATTTGCAGCGCTTACTTTCTCAAAAAGGAAAAAGTATAATCAGAAGAGTTCCATCTGCAACAGTTCTGTTCAGAAGGGACACTAAGCCAGCATTACAATACCGTGGACAAAGAAAAGCAACAAAGCAAGAAGGGAATGAGTGGCTGCTTTTCACATTAGGTTTTGGACTCCACTTGAACAGAACAATTCATTTAAAAGAGAACTGCCTCGTAACAGTTCAGCTCAGGTGGAAGACAGTCCTAATTCTGGACATGAGAGCAAAATCTTGTTTTAAGGTGGGCAAGATTAGCACTAGGGCTGTATCCCAAGAAATGCAGCATTTGCTAGCCAGATGTCTGGGAAACATTTTGTTGAGCACAAACCAACTATGGAGTTTGCGAGGCATACTGTCTTGGACATTCTTTGCAGCCAATGCATCAGGTTTGCCTGTCACGCTGCACCATGACAGTATATAAACCCTGGCAGTGTTCCCTCTCTCCTGCCTGGAGGGAACCTAATGAAAATGTTTGGAGCAATGCAGTGATCTCTACCACCACCCCTGCACCTCAGAGCAAACAAACAAAAACCTTGGCATGTGAAGCAAAAACAGCTTTCCAGTCCAAGTTAGAACAGTCTTCACAGTCACTCACAAGACATGACCCCAAGTCCCACTTAGGGTAGGCAGCTCAGTACAGCAGCATTTTCAAAGAGCTGTATGCAACATTTGCTTATACTGTTTATTTTAAGTTTGCCTCAGGAATTCATACTCTCCTTTGCTGTGCAGCATTATTCCTATCATATTCAAAAGAAGATTTAGTCTCTGCTTACAACAGGCCAACTCCATTAAGTATACCTTAAGTGAGAATGAAGTACCATTATCCATACCATAAGGGCTTTTTTCTGTCAAGGTCAGCTCCCAGCCATACCGTATCACTGGCATTGCAACAATCTTCCACCTGCTGACTCAAACAGCCCTGAGCCACTGCGGCCAGAGGTGAGCAATGCTTTCCTGACCATGAGGAAGGGCAGCCAGAGGAACCTACACCATCCTGATGGAGCAGCTTCACACCTCACCAGAGCACTTGGCACCCCCATGAAACAGCACTCCACTAAGCACAGGTAAATTCAAGCCTCCTCTTGCATAATGCATTAATCCAGCCCTCACACTGGCATTGCAGGGTGAAAAATACACATGGCACTGCTGTTGGATGAACTTTACTAGAAAGCCATTGCATCACTGTGGGTGTCTGACCATGGTTATGGGCAGCAGCATCCCCCCAGAGGGAAGCTCTGGCATGGGTGATCAGAGAATGCTGCCAGACCCCAGACAGTATATGATGACCCCATCTTGCTGCATTGTTTTGTTGACTACCACTTTAGCATCATCATCCTTACATATTTGTGCAATCCTCTGAAATTAAATACAGCTGTTTATAGGTTTATATTTAAATCCTTTTTTTCCATCATATTGATTGCTGTCCAGGGTTTAAAAAAAAAAAGCAAGCAATTTATCTATGGAAAGTCTCTGGTTCCAACCCCAACTACAGCTGATGCTCCTAGCCAGTACTTATGTACAAGTAACCCTTCTGTATCTATAAAGGACAGATCCAATAATTCAGTTCAATACTCAATTAATTCACAACAGATAAGATGACTACAAGTGTAAAAAGACAGAAGAATTGTATTTCTCTTCCAAGCTGTGACTAAGCAGCAGAAGCAGAAAGATCAGCTAAATGAGGCCTAAATCTCTGAAGAGCAATCCATTACAGCCTCTAGCTACAATAATTACTCTTAAACTATTCCAGTAGTTGTACCTTCAGAATGTACCTTCTAAAAGTTAGTTTTAAATAACTAGTGGCATTCTAAAATACTGATAACAATGGATTTCTTGTTATTTGTATCAAGACATACAAAATGCAAGTCAAACATCCTTAATAAATACACATACAGAAAGAAATACACAATACGCCATTTTTAAATACAAAGAGCGTGACAAGTATACGGAAAACACAGAGCACAACTGAGCACACAGTGAAAAAAAAGCCCATTCCAGGTTCAATTACAGCCTAACAATTATTTAAATTAGGATTTCCTCTCCCTGGATTAAAATCACATTTCACAACTGATGGCAGGACACAAACTGAAGGGGGTTTCTTCTTTAAAAGAAGTTGTTCCAGTGTCAAAACATAAGCAAAAAACACATTCACTTTCAGGTACCTCCTCCAATTTCCCTGGTCTTCATTCATTATGAGATTTGCCTTAGCAAATGGCAAACACAACCATACAAGTTGTTACTGCTAAATGTGATAGACACTGCTGACATAAGCCTCATTCTGTCTACACAGCTTTTGTAGCCTTCTTATCCTTTCTGGTTATGCTGAGGCTTTTCATTTCAGTGCCACAAAACATCTCATAACTGCTCAGCACAGTCTTCTGCTTTTTTGACTCCCTTATCCCTCACACCTTTATCTATGTATCTTTGCATACATCTCACCACCTCCCTGCCCTGTATTTTCTGTCCTCCATTCAGGAGGGACATGTTTCAACCTAGCCCCTTTTTAAAGTACACAAACACAAGACTTGCAAATTTTAAGTATCTTCAGTGCCAGGAAACTGAACCTTTACATTAAGAAGTAGATGGACTCAAATTAAGGCAATATCCTTTCTCCTTCTGGCCACACTGAGCACGAGGCTTCCACCTTCCATATTAGCCTCCAAACAGCAGGTTCCTCAGAAATCCTCCTAGTCCAGCACCTGAATGAGTGTTAATAGTATTAATTCTCTGTCTGTCATGAGGTTTCTAGTACTTTTCACATCTCCTAACCTTCCAGCTGCTGTGACAAGGTAGCACACAGTCATTCCTTGTTGCAGCAACACTGCCACTGTTAAAAACATTTCCAAAGTGGCACTTGGACACAACTGAGAGTTGACTTGTTATTTGAACTGAGTGGATTACAGCTGATTCACAACGATCTGCAATCATATTTGGCTGTTCAATATATGACCTTGTGATGAAAATTACTACCTGAAGTTTAACATATTATTAAACACTATTCAGATATTTAATCTGTTAATGCAGCAGACCTACTGCAGACAAGAGCTCTGCCACATGCAATACTGAATAAAGTCAGCAGAGCAGCCTTTTCACTGAATTAGCTGTCTAACTCTACTCCAGTACTACATGCACTGGTCACCCTGCCAGGTCCCCTGCTGCAGGCCTGATGTGGGGAGCACAAAGGGCCCAGGGACACCCTGAAACCCAGGAAATTACTCCCTGCTCCTTCCATTTCATGGAACATGGTAAAACCTAAGGCAAATCACACAAGCACCTGAAAGACAGTCAACCTCAGAATAATCAAGCTGGAATTACCATCTACTGGTTAGTGACTCTCTTTCCTCTTCTGCTAATTAGTCTGCTTTTGAGTCAGTGGGCTTCTTGGGGGTCTTTGGTGGTCCCTAGTGTTTGTTGAAAAGATGTCCCTTAGCATCCTTTCCATGTACTTTGAGACTTCCATATACAGTCTTGGTTTAGCTTATTATCTCATTTTAAGAGACTATCAAGCTTCTTATCTCAGTCTTGGCTGACTTTAGATGGCTCATCTGCACTCCTCCAAGGTGAACTAGTCACAAAGAATTATGTCCTTGGGTGCATTCTTGTTTGAGGCCCATTACATCAATTCCCCACTTTGATACCTACTCAGACAGTCTTAGATTAGATAACTTCTTTTAGCTACCTTGCTAATTCTGTAACAATAAACACTACTCTGCTAACACAACAAAAGAGTTGAATTATTGTCTGCAGCTAATTTTCCTTAAATTGTTTTAATGGTAAAAAAAGTTACTCTTCTCTTGATTTAAAGAAAAGGTCTTCTAGAGTTGCAACATTCGGGTATTCTTGCAATTAACTGACCCACACTGTTACAACAGCACCTGACAAATCTTTATCTGTCAAATAACAAAGGGTGTACTCATAATTTCAAGACATCATTTCTGAAGTATTTAGGATCAATGAAATCCTTCTGGTGATTATACAGGGCATGTGATGCATGCATGATTAGCATTATACGAGATGATCTGTTAATAACATGTTTCTACAAAATGCAGGAAGGATCCTGAGTGTATACTATCATTAGCTCCAGCCCTGAGAAAACAAGCAGCAGCAGAAGGCTGCCTTCTTAGTGCAGGGCTCAGAATATTGCAATCCTTCAGATTTCTCTGTTTGCAGAGAGTGTGATACCACTGTGGCTGAAAATAATGAGAAAACTCACCTGTTTGTTTCACCAGACTTGAAAACTAGATGGTAAGAGGCAGTTTCCAAAGCAAAATACAACTGAAATAGATGGATACATTCATCAGAGGACAGCTAGTGTAAAACAGCATACATGAGCCCAAAGACATAAAAGTAATCTGAAGAAATCTGCTGCAGACTATTTAGGGCTATGAAATAGCTATCACCCTGCTGTGCTCAAGAAAGTGAAGGGTTTCCCGAAAAGAAATGCATTTGGAAGCATGACATCTTCTCAGGTGGTGAATTATCTAACATTTTGAAAGAAACAAAACCCAAAATTAAAATGAGACCTTAAGTAACATTATAAATAGCTGGGTTTGTGTCTAGTATTTTTCCTTTGGAATTTATTTCTGATAAAACACTTTTCTGTGAGTTAAAAAGAAACTACAATATAACCACTGTAAACCCAAATAATAATTATGACTCAGACAGCATGAATTCACACAGCAGCCCAGTCCAGTACTCCCTAACCAAACCTATCCTAAACATCAGATTGCCAAATAGCCATGTACTACTGTTTACATTCCTAATATCCACGAATGAAATAATGAAATGCAAACACCCTAAACCACCACATTTCCTTTCACAACGTACCACCCTCTGCTTATTGTTGATTGATTCTTCATTTAACAAGACTGAGCTCAGCTTCTGGAAGCTGGCAGAGGCAACACTGAAAGTCCTACACACAGACCACAAGCGTGGCATTGCAGGTCCCCAGTGGTCTCTCACCACAACACATATATTGCTGTCTTTTTTTGCATTTTTCAGGATAGCACAGAAGCCACAAAAAATCAGAGCAAGTGTGTTCACCAGACGCAACACACTCCCATGGGCCTACAGTCACCTTTCTGAACCTGCTCTGTCGACACATGCATCACTGCTGTGCCTCAGGGAAAGCACATGCCCAGGCCCAGATATAGCCTGCTGCCTCTCCCAGAAGCCCAGCACAGCTACAGGCTGTCTTGGCTCATGAAGAGTTTCCCATTCCCATGAGGAAAACAGGTGGCTTTGATGTCATGCCTGTTTCAGACACTTTTAGAAAAAAACCTACATGACAACTGAATTTCTGGGTTTTGTGTTGAAATGTAAATAAGCTTGTTCAGAGAGTTAACCAAACTGCCATTTCTCTGAGAGCACACCGAAAGTCAGCAAAGGTGACCACTGCAGAATGTTTCCAAACCCTAAGATTTACAACAGCTGAAGAGGAAAAGGTAAGATCAGTGCTTCTAATCTGGCAAGGGCAGAAGACAGCAAGGATCAGTATCAGATGACAAATGAGTCTCAGCACTTGCCACCCCCCCCTTCCTGCCAGCATTTCATTTTTCATTCTTTCTGGAGACCTGCATCCTCTTTGGCATCACATCTTTTCCTTCCTGTTTCGATAAGCAGAGCGTAGCAGCCCTCACAGAGCGCCCTGTGTGACGAGGTGGCAAAGTGCCAGAGCCGAGATGAACAGGGAATGCTGTTTCTGGACTTATGCAAGTGTCTGAATACAATCAAATATTTTAACACACAGTGGCAAATTCTGGTTATTTTGCACAGTGACCTATAAACTCTCAGGACCTCGGACATTATTCAGTATCTTATTCATCAGTAAGCAACAAAGTTTTACCTGGTGCTTGATTTTTGGAACAGAAAAGCTTTTGTGGTATAAAACCTCTGATGCCAGTTCAGTAAAGACTGGAACATTCTGATGAAAAGGAGGATGGTTCAGTAAAAAGGACATTTGCCAGAGACATATATTCAGTCCCTTGCTTTACCACAGACTCCCTCTGTAATCACTGGCAAGCTATTCAGTCCCAGAATTATCCAAGACTAACTCCATCTTTGCTTCATTTTTACTGCTTGCTGGCTCTGGGCATTCATCAGTTGCAAGGTATAAAGAGACTACAGAATTGAGCCTCTAAAACCACAGACCTCAGCTCTGTGTAAAAGGGGGACAATACCATTTCCTTTGTGTACTAACAGTCAAAAGAATGGACATGCATCAACTAAGAGATGGTTAGAAGATACAGCAATGAAAACTATTTAAGAATCAGAAACGAAGTTGGAATTTCCCACTGGTATTTGTCAGTGATTTTTCTGGCAAACGATAGTCTTTTATGAGGACGTAAGTGCCATAAGAATCTACATGCCATGCAACTGCAAAGTAACAAGCACTACCTGAGAGCCATATGCAGAGTACACTACACAGTCTGAGCACG